GTCCCACAGGTGGAACGGTGACAGTTTTAAACAAGAATCATTTTTTATCATTTTTCAAAGTAATTTTGGGGATTTTTTTCCATCCGATTAATCGAATACATAATCAATCAATCAATTAATCGATCATCAAGATAACAGTTCCCTACTTTCAATGTCATAAAATCCGAAAATATTGTAAGAAAACTTTTTATATTAATTTTTCTCCAGTTTATGACATAATACTACTTGATATCAAATGTCCAAGTACTAAATATTTAACCACAGGTTAAATCAGACGCTAACTAGTCTGTACAGAACTTTCTAGACGCTCCATTCACTCGCACTCAGTCTGTAGATGATGAAATCCCCGGCAAACACCGATAACAAAGCAAACACTGCAGTAAAACTGCAGCAAAACATCGACTTTCGTGTATTTAGACGCAAACTACACCGACATACCTCATAATTGAACCGTTTTTCGATTTCTAATAACCGTTATTTTCCTATTGACCTTATGTGGCCCCGCCCCTTTTTAGCGACGCGTTTGTTGTCTTCTGTCTTTTCTTGTTGTATTTCAGAATCAGAATGAGCTTTATGTCATGTCACAGTGAACTGACGGATTTATGAATGAACCGCTCGTTTTAAAATCTCCCTGGTCTGCTGACATTTGTTCAAACATTTGCTTTAAACATTACAATGCTCACGACAACTTTTGTTGTCTTTACCAGCTAAATTACTCTTAGACAGCGTTACCATGGAAAACTACAGCGCAAACGGAAGCTCAAAGACAACATTGTAAAGATGGCGGCGCGCTCGTTTCTCGGGAGAATAAGGTCCGTCGTGAGCCTCAGTCACCTCGATGATTTTGATGAATCTCGGGAACACCGGGTTTCTGTTGACGGCGACGAGAGGGACGTTCGGGAAGAGCTCGGGCACAAGCATCGGGGTGAGCGCTGTCATCTGAGGAGGAGGAGTGTAGGGACCTTCATCACCTCCAGACTCCTCATCTCCGGCGGACCCCGCGCTGCTCTCGCCTCCGTCCTCTCCGGAAAACCCGCTGCCCTTGCTCCCGAAGAGAAAGCGCCGCTGACAGCCGGAGCCCGCGGAGCCCGCCGCTGTGACCCGACTCCACCTGTCAGTCAGCACGGATGCTGCGGTCCTGGCGCTGCGTGAGGACGCTCTGCTGGAGATGCTGGAGTAGGAGCGCGGGAAGAGCGCGTTTAAGCCGGCTCTGATCATGGCTGAGGAGGCGTTTCTGGACGCTGGACTGTACGATCTCCACACTCGCATGTACGCCGCCATCTTTGATCTGGAGGATTCTATGCGAGGAGCACGTGACCGCACCGCTGTCTGGTTCTGATGACGGCATGAGGCGACGCCACGCCCCGTATTTGCATATTATAATGAGCATGAGGGGAATGAGCGTAACATGCTTCCGTGGTTCATATATAATAAAATAAAAAGCACTAGAGTATAATAAAAACAAAACAGAAATATGAAAATATGTCAGTTAATAAGATGGTTCTTGCACGGGAGACCGAGTTAAACCATAATTTCTAATCAAAAATAAATCTTCAAATGGTTCTTTATTGTAAATAAAACTTTTAAAAATTAGGCTATAGAACTATATTCTCAATGTCTGTTTCAGAAAAGCTGTAAACGTACTTATGTACTAAATATAAATGTACTATTTCATCATTTATAAATCAGATTTTTCCCTGTAAAACAAAATATAATTTTACATCTATGCCATATGTAAGATTTTATTTTGTATTTAAATTATATTTGATTTGAGCTATAACTAAAGATTCAAAATAGAATTGTATAATTCTATCATTTAAATTTGTATTTACGAATCCATTATTACTATAATAATATTACACATATATATATATATAATTGTCAAACATATAAACAATTTCCAATTTGAAAAGTGACCGAATCTGAGGGCGTTGACGTCATCTCTCTGCGCCGCCAAAATACACGTGTGGCTAAAGTGGAACGGCGCGACGCGGTGGAAGGTGTCCGGAAAAAAGCGAAGGAACTGGTGATTTAATACAGAAACCATGGGTAAAAAACTGAAAGTCGGGAAAACCAGAAAGGACAAATTCTACCATCTCGCAAAAGAAACGGGTGAGTCGCGTAAACATAAACGTTAAGACACATGCGCGTGAGCTCACAGAGTACCACGTTATTACCTTTTACATTTACATTATATTTGGACGCATACTATGGTAATATCGGGCGTTATTCGAGATTATTGTAGTATGATATTCCACAAAGTGTCATAGAAATATTATGGGAATCATTCAGATGCGTCTAGACTGTGGTAATGTCGTGTTGTGTGAATGTGCAGTGTTTGTAATGAGTGTAATCTCTCATTATATCGTGTTGTTTCAGGTTATCGCTCCAGATCGTCGTTTAAGCTGATTCAGCTCAACCGGAAGTTCCAGTTTCTGCAGCGAGCTCGAGCTCTGGTGGATCTGTGCGCGGCTCCAGGAGGATGGTGGGTAAACTCTGCTAGTTAATGTTGAACCGCTTAACCAGGGCCTGCTAAACCCGTTTTATCTTTCCTCACATTATCTTATGTTCTTTCCCAAATTATTTTTATTTATTTATGTTATTTTATTCTTTTCCATTTTTTGTGTAATCTATTTTATTTTACCACAAATTCTGTTTTTTTTCTTTCCCAAATTCCGTTTTTTTCCATGAAATCTATTTTATTTTTTCCTCATTTTTTAAATTCTACTTGTTTTTTTTTTGTCACCTCCATTTTATTTTTACCCAAATTCTGTTTTATTATGGGAATCATTCAGATGCGTCTAGACTGTGGTAATGTCGTGTTGTGTGAATGTGCAGTGTTTGTAATGAGTGTAATCTCTCATTATATCGTGTTGTTTCAGGTTATCGCTCCAGATCGTCGTTTAAGCTGATTCAGCTCAACCGGAAGTTCCAGTTTCTGCAGCGAGCTCGAGCTCTGGTGGATCTGTGCGCGGCTCCAGGAGGATGGTGGGTAAACTCTGCTAGTTAATGTTGAACCGCTTAACCAGGGCCTGCTAAACCCGTTTTATCTTTCCTCACATTATCTTATGTTCTTTCCCAAATTATTTTTATTTATTTATGTTATTTTATTCTTTTCCATTTTTTGTGTAATCTATTTTATTTTCCCACAAATTCTGTTTTTTTTCTTTCCCAAATTCCGTTTTTTTCCATGAAATCTATTTTATTTTTTCCTCATTTTTTAAATTCTAATTGTTTTTTTTTTTGTCACCTCCATTTTATTTTTACCCAAATTCTGTTTTATTCTTTCCCAAATTAGTTTTTTTCCAATCTAATTTTTCTGTAATATTCATTTTATTGTTTCCCAAATTCTGTTTTTTCCATGAAATCCATTTTTTCCCCCAATTTTTTAAATTCTTTTTTCAAATTCTGTTTTTTTTTTTGTCACATCCTTTTTATTTTTTACCTAAATTCTGTTATATTCTTTCCCAAATTCCCTTTTTTTTTCTTTTTTTTTTTTTCTGTGATATCCATGTTATTCTTTCCCAAATTCCTTTTTGTGTTTGATGTTTTAATTTTATTCTTTTCCAAATTTTTTTTTGTGAAATTCATTTTATTTTCCCACAAATTCTGTTTTATTCTTTCCCAAATTAGTTTTTTCCAATCAAATTTTTCTTTAATATTCGTTTTATTGTTTCACAAATTCTGTTTTTTTTTTTTTCTGTGAAATCGGTTTTATTTTGTCCTTAATTCTGTTTAATTCTTTCCCAAATTCAATTTTTAGTTGTAATTGTTCTGTGAAATCGGTTTTATTTTTCCCCAAATTCTGTTTTATCCTTTCCCAAATTTAAATTGTTTTCTAAATTGTTTTATTTTTTCTGTGAATTATTTTTTCCCAAATTCTATCGTTGTTGTTTTTTTGTTTTGTTCTGTGAAATCTGTTTTATGTTCCCCCAAATTCATTTGAACTCTTTCCTTTTTTTGTTCATTTAAATTTTTCTGAATTATGTTTTAATGGTTAAATTAAATTGTGGTAACCAAAAAGTGTGTCTAATCAATTGAAATTATGAAACCTATACAATTTAACAACATAGCAAATTATTAAAAGTTTAACAAAAATTATTTTTTTAGGGCCCTATGAAATGTTTATTTTTCCCAAATTGTCTTTTTCTTTCTTGCCTGGATTGCATTTTAATATTTTATGTAAACTTTAATAATCAAAAAGCTTGTTGAATCAATTTAATTCATAATACTTTAACAACTTATTCATTTCTTTTTTCCTTTTTTTTTTTTACAATAATATTACCCTATGAAATTTTTTATTTTTTCAGAATTTCTATGTTTTCTGTTTTACATTTTTGTATTTATTATTTAATACAAATTTATTATTAAAAACGGTGGTCATTTTATTTATATATTATTTTTATTTATTAATTTATTAACAAACAGTGCTGTACAACAGAGGTTTACGGTAAATGTTAAAACATGGAAAGAACTGTTTGACTTGATAAAGTTTTAATCGTTTTATTGTCACTTTGACAAGTACATGTACAATAGTAATATATTTCTGTTTGACTGAGCTTTTATTTTGACGAATTGTCGCGAAGACCAGAGTTTCTGACAATAGTTTTTGTTAGATTTAGTCATCCAAGAATTGCCAGTTTGCGCTGGTTTCATGATCTCTCTTTGACGTTCAGGTTGCAGGTGGCGTCGAAGTTCATGCCGGTGTCCAGCCTGATTATCGGTGAGTGGTTGTGAAGTGAAGCGTCTGTGATTCAGACACAGACTCCAGGTCTGACGCTGTTGTTTTGCCGTCAGGTGTGGATCTGGTGCCGATCAAACCCATCCCGAACGTGGTCATGCTGCAGGAGGACATCACCTCGGAGAAGTGCAGACAGGTGCGTGTTTGCGCTCTTCAGCATGTTCAGATACTCCTGATTCCTCGATTCTATTCGAATATTCGATTTTTTAAAAATCCTTGATTGCATTTTACCCGTATCGAGTAATCGGCAAAATGCCGGAAGTGGCGCATTCCACACATTAACCCCATTTAAAAATCATAAAAAAAGCATAATGCTGTTGTGAATTCACAAACGCTACGATTCAGTTAAATAAATACATGCGATTCAGGTTTAATATATGCGCTTTATTTACATGTGTGTAGTAGGTTACGTACATACGGCTCTGTTCACAGTAAATGCTGCTCCACACAAACTGTTATCATTTACATGTGTGGAGCATCTCAAACTCAGTCTCTGCATGTTGCTGTGAGTTTGGGTTTATTATAACGTTCATCTGGGAACGCAACGTGCGCTTTTTCATCAGATTTGTAAGGTAAATCATTTATAAATCTACGCAAACGCAGGAGAATACATCAATATCTTTCTCAATATGCTAACTGTTCATCGCGATTTCAAAATAAAAGTTTAAACCCTCACTCTGAGTTCGCACGTTTTGATGTCCACATATTCAAGAAATTAAAGTGGCTGTAGCTTTTCTATTATAAAGAAATGGCCAAATATTAAAGATTAAGCGGACAGTTGAATTACATTTTGTTGAGTCATTATTAAACAAGGATTGAAGACCTTACTCAATGCATGTTCTGCAAGATTCTCCTTTCTGTCAAACATATTTTATTGGATTGTCCCACTTTTAATATATGTATTTAGTATAATTTTGCCAGAAAAAGTAAAAAAAAAAAAAGTATCATATGTTAATGTAAAAATATTTTTTTGCTGGTTTTTATTGTATTTGATATACTTGTATTTTTTTTAATTGTTTTTGCCATGAAAATAGCCTATGATGCTGACATGGCATTAAATAAAAATATACTACTACTATTAAACAAGGATTAGATCGTGCAGTAAAGTATAAAACAATTGTCAGGCTGTTGGCGCCCTCTGCAGGCATTTGTTATAATGCGTAATGTACATTAGCTCTATTGTTTATAATACAATATGTATTTTAACAGTTTTGTTTAATAAAACCATATGAT